AAAAAAAAAAGAGAGGAAAAAAAAGAAAAAAAAGTGACCAAATAGGGTCGCACAAATAAAACACCAAAATAAGTTGGGTGTAATCGTGTGTTTTTAGGAGAAGTGTGGGGGAGGTCCGGTTTGTTTGAGTAACCGGTTGAGCGTGCATTCTTGGGTTAGGAGTTTGAATTATTTTTGAGCCACTTAGCCTATATTTATCCTACCTGTCCAAAGAGCCTACGTTACAACCCTGAAAGACTTTTTGATTCACTTGTTTCAATTTTGATTGGTTTAGAGTAGAAGTTAGACAATGGGCAAGCCTATGATTGAACTTGTTATCGACCAATTTGAGTGCATCCATATCTTTATCTGTATAAGAAAGTGAGTGAGGCACACATACATTCCCTATTTGAGAGGACGTCATATTGAAAGTTTAGCGATCAAGCATGTAGTCGTGTTATGTTCATATATGCCATTTGAATGCTCATTGTTGAAGTTGAACGTGTTGAGACTTATCTTGTTATCGACTGATGTCCAGACTCGTTTTTGTTTTGTGTCTTCTCTTTTCTTTTCTTTTTGTTCGGGACGAACAAAGGTCTTAGTGTGGGGGAGTTGTTTGTCCCATTTTTGTATCTTTATTTCGTGTTTATTTTCTTTTTGTTTTCCCACATTTGTAGGTTTTTCGTAGTTTATTTGGTCCATTTCGTTCGTTTCATGTTTTTATCTTTAATTTATATTTTTGTATCTTTTTGTCGTGTTTTGCTTCGTGTTTTTCTGTGGGACTTTCGTTCGAAAAGTGGTGTGCTGAGATTTCTGAAGCTCAGTGGCTATGGCGGACGGAATTCCTAGGAGAGATTTGCAAGCATCGTTCGACGACGCATGGACGATGACGAGGCCGTTTGGAGAGGGCCCTCCCGTGGGCTTCTCTGGACCCTCGCATACACAGGTGACTCCGACGCCCGTTCCCCAAGGTGTAGAAGCTACGCCGGTGCAACCAGAGGTGGACGTGGGCTCAAGCCGGGCCCAAGAGACCCGCACGGCTCAAGGAGCGGCGATCCCAGCGCCGTTGCAACAATATCTGGCCGGGATACAACAACGAGGAGCGGTGATACAGGGAGCAGTGTCACTGCCGGTGGAGGAGCCACGCCCTGGCCAGCAGGTGGTGATGACCAGGCAGAAGATGCAGCAGATTGTGGCGAACGCGGCGGCACAAGCGGTTCAGCAAGTCACTCAAAGCCTTTCGCGAGTGGCTACTGGACCAACGATGGTAGATGAGGACGTGTCTAGCTATGGGGGAGATGGAGCCCTGTGAGATCGGGAGGTGGAGAGACTTGCGGAGCAGGTGAGGCAGATGCAGGCTAAGATTGATGGTCGACCTGAAAGGCGTGCTCGAGGACATCCGTTCTCGAGGGATATATTGGCTGCACCACTACCTAGGAATTTTAGAGACATGAGTTTGATGTTCGACGGGACCACTGACCCGTCGAGGCACGTAAGGGCGTTTGAGAATTTGGCTGTGTTACATGGTTATTCTGATTCTGTTAGTTGCAGGGCATTTTTATCTACCTTGAAGGGAGGTGCGTTTGATTGGTTTCAGCAGCTCCCTCATGGATCGATCAAGGACTTTGACGATTTCGCAGAAAAGCTGATGACCCAGTACGCGAGTGCAGTGGCGCGGGAGAAAACGTATTTGACATTGATGGCTATGAGGCAAGGGGAGAAAGAGTCGTTGTGCAAGTATGTTGCGCGATACAATCAAACTTGTTTGGAGATCCCCACGGCCGCGGACGAGGTGAAGGCTGGGGGGTTGATACGGAGTCTGCGAGCAGGGCCCTGTCGAACATCTTTAGCAAACCCCTGCTCGTACGTATGACGATGTGCTGAAAAGGTGTAAGAAATATATTAATCTGGAGGAGATGGAGGTGGAGTTTGCTAATTTGGAGGAGTTGGCTAAGCCGGAGCCGAAGAAAGAAAGGGCGAGCTCACCCGAAGGGCGTCGCCGGGTAGGAGATCGCCCAGGAGAGAGGGGCGTGGCAGGTTTGATCGAGGGCCTGATCGAGGGCGAGAGGACATGTGGAAGGATCGACCAGTGTTTGGAGGGAAGCGGTTCTATAACTTTACGCCCCTTAATGCAAAAATGGGAGAGGTGCTGGTGGCTATTGAGAAGAAGATCGAAGATAGGGACGTGACGTGGCCAAAATCGAGGCGCGAGGGGCCAACGCAGAGTAGGTCGAGGAAGTACTGCCGTTTTTAGAAAGATTATGGGCATACGACGGAGAAGTGCCGGCACCTCAAGGATGAGATCGAGCGTCTTATTAGGGCCGGGTATCTTAAGGAGTTCGTGTATGAGGATAAGGCGAAGGGGAAGGACAAAGGAATGTGTCGGGAGGATTCAGTGGAGCGGAGTGACCGAGATGATGATGAGGAAGACGATCCTCGAGGAGGGAGAGGTGATCGAGGAGGTAAAAGAAGACGAGGGAGTCGAGATTGGGGAGGTCAGGCGGATCATGGCCCTGTGAAAAGGGGGACGATCTATATGATCTCGGGGGGCCCGACTGACGGGGACTCGAACAATGCAAGGAAGGGTCCTGTTCGAGCGATGAAAAGAAAGAGAGAGGAGGTGGGGATCACTGCTCGGATGCCGGAGATAAGTTTTCGAGCAGAGGATGCAGAGGGAGTGGTGTTGCCCCACAATGATGCGCTAGTGATAACGGCGGAGGTGGCTGGTTTTGATGTGAAGAGGGTGTTCATCGATACCGGGAGCTCGATGGACGTAATGTTTTTATGATTGTTTTGTGCAGATAAACAAGGAGCTTAACCTTGAGCTGAAGCCGTTGACCACAGCCCTGTATGGATTTAATGGAGGTGAGGTAATGCCAATGGGAGAGGTGAGCCTATCTGTTGCCTTGGGGCACAGGGCGACAAGGAAGGTGAGAAAGGTGAGGTTCGTGGTCGTTGGAGCAGAGTCATCATACAACATTATAATGGGAAGGACCAGTTTGAATGCATTCCAGGCGGTCGTGTCGACGTACCATATGACGATCAAATATCCGGTGGGCGAAAACGTTGGTGAGGTCGCAGGAGATCAGCTTACCTCGAGGAGTTGTTATCAAACCACAGTGAGCAACAATAGACAGCTCTCGAGGAAGCAGGTGAAGCTCGAAGAGGGGATGTTGAATCGACCAGGAGGTTCGAGGTCGAAAGAGGAAAGAGAGAAGGTGGATAAAGGGAAGGAGAGAGTAGAGATGCAGCCTGGAGGGGAGATCGAGGAGATCTAGATGGTGGAAGGATGTGAGGAGAGGAAGTTTCGAATAGGAAAGGAGCTCGAGGAACCCATAAAGTCGAGATTGATCGAACTGATCAGGGAGTTCGCGGATGTTTTTGCGTATACGGCCGAGGAGTTAACAGGGATAAAGGCGGAGGTGATCGAACATCGCTTGAATATCGATCTAATGGTAAGGCCGGTGAAACAGAAGCGGAGACACCATGGTGCAGAGATGGACAAGGTGATCGAGCAGGAGGTTGAGAAGTTACTGAAGGCGGGTCATGTTAAGGAGATCCAGATCCCTGAATGGTTGTCGAACACAGTGATGGTGTCTAAGTCCGGAGGAAAGTGGAGAATGTGTATTGATTTTCGTGACTTAAACAAGGCGTGCCCGAAAGATTTGTATCCATTACCCTGGATCGACCAGCTGGTCGATTCTACGGCAGGATGTGAGTTGCTCAGCCTTATGGATACATCCCAGGGGTACCACCAGATCCCTTTGGCTCGAGAAGATCGGAAGAGGGTGAGTTTTGTTACGAGCAGGGGTACTTATTGTTATGTGGTGATGCCTTTTGGCTTGAAGAATGCGGGTGCAACGTATCAAAGGTTGGTCGATAAAATTTTCAAGGAGCAGTTGGGAGGAACATGGAGGTGTATATTGATGATATGTTGGTGAAGAGTAAGGTGGAGGCCGATCATGTGAGTGACTTAAGAGAGACGTTCTCAACTTTGCGGAGGTATGGCATGAAACTGAATCCCGCTAAATGCTCTTTTGGGGTGAAGTCAGGAAAGTTCCTGGGGTATATGGTGACGAAGAGGGGAATCGAGGTCAACCCAGAGAAGGTGAGGGCAGTGATCGAGATGAAACCGCCCACAAAAGTAAAGGAAGTGCAGATATTGACGGGCAGGATTGCAGGCTTGAGCCGTTTCATATCTAAGATGAAACCGTCACTGTATCGTCTCCTGATCAGCCGCTTGGCATCTGCATATCACCCAAGACGGTTAGAGGCAGAGTAGGTTTTTTTTTTTTCTTAATACGAACTAATACTAATATCAACACCTCACATATATACTGTGGAACTGAAATTCAATACAACAATACGAAATTTAAGAAAGGAATTCAATATAACACTACGAAAATAAAACAAAAGAAAAATTGGGGAAAAAAGTTGCTTAATGGCGGCTTCGCCAATGAGACGCTCGCCATCGGCAAAAGCGACATAGGATGGCGTGGTGTGATTTCCTTGATCATTGGCTATGATCTCGACGCGGTCGTGGTGCCACACGCCCACGCATGAGTAAGTGGTCCCCAAATCAATCCCGATTGCAGGCCCCTCGCCTTTTGCGGCCATTACTGAATCAAAAATTTGAGCGAGAACTTGAATATATAATCACAATCAAACTAGTATGGTAATTAATCAGCTCTCACCTTTTGAATGGTTGGTTGTATTACTAATTGCAAAAAAATCTTTTTCACCCCCAATACAAAGATACATTAAGTTTTTCACATCGCTCACTAACAATCTAACTTTTTCACCCCGAGAAGTGCCAATGTTATGCGAATGGACTGCATAACTATAGTTTATCAATTGTATAACTGTCGCATATTCATCGCGCAATGCCTTCGCACTTTAACTTTTTTACCCCCCGAGGAGATATCTTTCATGGTCCTCACCAAGATGGCCGTCATTGCCGACTCCTATCTGGCCCCACCCTTGTCCGGGATGCCGTCATCACCATCCCGGCCTACTTTAGCAACTCTCAAGGACAGGCCACCAAGGATGCCGGTGCCATTGCCGGCCTCAATGTCATCCGCATCATCAATGAGCCCACTGCTGCCGCCATTGCCTATGGCTTCAACTACAAAGCAGAGAAGAAGAATGTGTTGGTCTTCGACTTAGGAGGTGGCACCTGTGACGTCTCCATCCTGACAATATCAAAGGTTACCTTCGAGGTGAGGGCCACCGCTGGCGACACCCACCTTGGCGGGGAGGATTTCGACAACCGCATTGTTGCTCACTTTGCCAAAGAGTTCAAGCGCAAGTACAACAAGGACCTTTCTGAAAACCTGCGGGCCCTACGGAGGCTGAGGACAGCTTGCGAGAGGGCGAAGAGGGTTCTCTCGACCAATACTAAGAATAATGTGGACGTTGAGTGTCTGCACGAGGGAATTGACTTTCACTCTAGCATTACCCCCGCTAAATTCGAGGATCTCAACATGGACCTGTTCGAAAAATGCGTCGAGCCTGTAGAGAGCTGCCTGAGAGATGCTGGGGTGGAGAAGGCTGCCATCCATGATGTCGTTCTGGTTGGAGGCTCGAGCAGGATTCCCAAGGTTCAGAAGATGCTGCAGTTTATTTTCGAGGGAAAGGAGCTGTGCAGGAGCATTAACCCAGATGAGGCAGTTGCGTACGGTACCGCCGTGCATGCAGCCGTCCTACGTGGCATAGGGGACGACAAGGTGCGGGACCTCGTACTCCTCGATGTGACCCCTCTCTCATTAGGAGTGCACACTGTCGGGGAGGCCATGTATGTCGTGGTCCCGCGGAACACGACTGTCCCCACCCAGAAAGAGCGAACATTGTACACAAATGTAGATAACCAGTCATCTATGAGACTCTCGGTCAACGAGGGCGAGCGGGCAAGGTCAACAGACAACAACCTGCTCACGCAGTTCCTACTGAATCCGAGCGAGAGCTGATTAATCAACTTACAAGTTTGATTTTGGTTATTTATTCAAGTTTTCCCTCACTTTGTTCTTTCAGTAATGGCTGCAAAAGGCGAGGAGCCTGCAATCGGGATTGATTTGGGGACCACTTACTCATGCGTGGGCGTGTGGCACCACGACCGCGTCGAGATCATAGCCAATGATCAAGTTAATCGCACGGCGTCCTCCTATGTCGCTTTCGCCGACGGCGAGTGTTTCATAGGCGAAGCCGCCATTAACCAGGCCGGCATGAACCCCGCAAACACAGTCTTTGGTGAGCAGCTTTTTTCCCCAATTTTTCTTCTGTTTTATTTTCGTAGTGTTATATTGAATTCCTTTCTTAAATTTCCTAGTGTTGTATTGAATTTCAGTTGCACAGTATATGTGAGGTGTTGATATTGGTATTAATTAGTTCATATTAAGAAACAACCCTACTCTGCCTCTAACCGTGTTGGGCGATATGCAGATGCCAAGCGGTTGATCGGGAGACAATACAGCGCGCCTCTGTGCAAGCTGACATAAAGCTGTGGCCTTTCAAGGTTGTCTCGGACCCCACGGACAAGCCCATGATTGTGGTCTCCCACAATGGCGAGGAGAAGCAGTTCCCCCCTGAGGTGATATCTTCCATGGTCCTCACCAAGATGGCCGCCATTGCCGACTCCTATCTGGCCCCACCCTTGTCCGGGATGCCGTCATCACCGTCTCGGCCTACTTTAGCAACTCTCAAAGACAAGCCACCAAGGATGCCGGTGCCATTGCCGGCCTCAATGTCATCCGCATCATCAATGAGCCCACTACTGCCGCCATTGCCTATGGCCTCAACTACAAAGGAGAGAAGAAGAATGTGTTGGTCTTCGACTTAGGCGGTGGCACCTGTGACGTCTCCATCCTGACAATATCAAAGGGTACCTTCGAGGTGAGGGCCACCGCTGGCGACACCAACCTTGGCGGGGAGGATTTCGACAACCGCATTGTTGCTCACTTTGCCAAAGAGTTCAAGCGCAAGTACAACAAGGACCTTTCAGAAAACCTGCAGGCCTACGGAGGCTGAGGACAGCTTGCGAGAGGGCGAAGAGGGTTCTCTCGACCAATACTAAGACCAATGTGGACGTTGAGTGTCTGCACGAGGGAATTGACTTTCACTCTAGCATTACCCGCGCTAAATTCGAGGATCTCAACATGGACCTGTTCGAAAAATGCACCGAGCCTGTAGAGAGCTGCCTGAGAGATGTTGGGGTGGAGAAGGCTTCCATCCATGATGTCGTTCTGGTTGGAGGCTCGAGCAGGATTCCCATGGTTCAGAAGATGCTGCAGTTTATTTTCGAGGGAAAGGAGCTGTGTAGGAGCATTAACCCGGATGAGGCTGTTGCGTACGGTGTCGCCGTGCATGCAGCCGTTCTACGTGGCATAGGGGACGACAAGGTGCGGGACCTCGTACTCCTCGATGTGAACCCTCTCTCACTAGGAGTGCACACTGTCGGGGAGGCCATGTATGTCGTGGTCCCGTGGAACACGACTGTCCCCACCCAGAAAGAGCGAACATTGTACACAAATGTAGATAACCAGACATCTATGAGACTCCCGGTCTACGAGGGCGCACGGGCGAGGTCAACAGACAACAACCTGCTCGCGCAGTTCATACTGAAGGGAATTCCACCTACCCCGAGGCGCGTGCAAATGGTGGACGTGTGCTTCAAAATTGACGCCAACGGCATACTCAGTGTATCGGCAAAAGAGAGGTCGACGGGCAGAACAAACGGGATCACTATAACCAATGAAGAAGGGAGGTTGTCGAAAGAGAAGATTGATAGGATAGTGTGGGATGCCGCGAGACACAGGGGGGAGGATGATGACTACAGGAGGAGGGTCAATGCTAGGAACAGCCTCGAGGATTATGCTTATGAAATGAGGAACACAATCAGTGCTGCAGCCGGGCTGGCGGCGGCCGATAAGAAGATGGTGGAGGATGCGGCGGTGTCGATTATTCAGTGGGTGAGGGAGATGAATTGGATGAAGGCCAGTGTCGATGAGCTCAACCATAGGATGCGTGAGCTTAAGAGCATTTGCTGGCCTATCATTATTAAAATTATTGATTTGGAGTCCGACTTCGATTAATGATAATCTGATTGCTCTTTTTTATTTTGTCCACATTTAGGGCCATGGGTTAAGATTTTGTGTCAAGACGCTTTTGTTGTTTTGGTTTGAACATGTCATTAGACTATTATCTTTGATTCGTTTCAGTTTCTGCCCAACATGTATATATGGTGCTTGTTGGTTGCTATGACGAGTGTGTAACCAGTGATGATTTTATGTTTACTTCATTGAGCGAGAATTTTTGGCCGTTTTTACCCTATAAAATTTATTAACCCGCTTTGTACTTGGTTTCTTAAAATAGCCTTGATTGATTCTCATATAAGTTCTAGACTTTATTACATTGCTTGATTGATTTTTATTATAATTACTATGGAGAGCAAGCTTGCTAGGTAAAAAAAAAATAGAATAATTTTGCATCAACAACAAAGATCGAAGGTTCAATTCCTTGATTCTTCCGAATAATTTGATCATTCTTTTATATTTATGAGTACTTTAATTTATGTCCATGTTCATAATTTTATTTATTTATCCTTTTTAGGAATTTAGGGTTTAAAACATATGTATTTATTCATCATTCTTATATGTAGTGACTATCACTAAATAATCTATTAGCACAGAGCATGCATTTTCTGCTATGACTATCGTTAAATCTAAACTTCGAAGTAAAATGGAAGGTGACTTTCTTGTAATTCTTTGACTATCTTTGTTGAAAGAAAAATTGCAAGATCTACTACTGTCGATTCAATCATCAAAGAAAAATTGGAAGCTGACTTGAGATAACGTCGAACACAATTTTAGAAGTTACAAAATTTGAACGTCATATATTTTCTAGAACTACTTTTTTTTTTCATTTCTAGAAATACAGCTTTATCTTTTTAATGAAGCATGTCATTGAAAATTATTTAGTCCCCCAATTAAATTTTCTGGATCCGCCCTTGCTTTGAGAGATCCATGGTAGCACGCGATGAAAGAAGAGTAATCTCTGTGGAAAGACGTCGACCTAAAGTTGACGAAACCCCAGCGGTAAAGTAACTCCTCCCTTATGCAACGACATGTGGTCGATCTACCATCGGCAAAAATATAGAAGCAGTTGAAAAGAGTTAATTGTGTTCCTCGCGATAATTTCGCATCGCCCTTTTGAGAGTGGAGAGAAAGAGGAACAATTGAGTGGAAGATAACATTCATTTCTCATTAAAATATCTAGGGATAAGATTGGTATAATACTTAAACTCAAGGGCATAAAAGACACTACAATCTCAAAAATCTAACGTGTCAAATGGAGAGGTAGCCAAACAATAAAAAAAATATAAATTGCTATAGTGCTAGAAGTGCTTTATATTAATAAGACTAGTTGTCTTCACGGCCGGCTCAAATTTAGTCTAAAATCCAGTGAAAATTTGACGTCCTTGAAATGATCAGTCGGATTTGTATATATATTTTTTTAAACATTGTTATTAAATTTGATACGCATGAAGTTTATGTTTAATAAATTTTGACGATGTTCACATAGTTTTGTTGTGTCCTGTTAAAGTTTAAAATTAATGTTCGTATGTTGTTTGAGTATAGTAGACTGTAATTTAATTTTTATTCAGATTGTTAATTAATTAATAATTATTAGTCATAATTTGATACTTTATCTTTGCATTAGTTGTTTTGTTGAAATATTGCATCGACATGAATGATACTAACTGTATATAATGTAATTTCACTTCTCAATCCTTTGGCTGAGCGCACATATGAAGTCTCCAATTTTTACCACAGCAGGCGTTCTCTAAAGCTTGACAAATTATGCACAAAGATTTCTAAAAAGTTGTATCCTTTTTAGTAATGCTTGTTAACAAAATAATTTTCACCATAAAAGACCTCATTACACAATTTTTTTAAATAATCTTTCACCATACAAGACCTCATTACACAATTTTTTGGACAGTTGTTACAATTCTTTACATATATTACGTAATCTTTCACCATAAAGATCTCATGAACTTGACATTGTCTATAGATCCTTTCTTATATTATTTCTTTTATTCTTTACATATATTCTCTACCTGGACCACCAACGACCACTTCCAATGGCTTTTCAGGATGAGAAGACAAAGAAAAGACGACTAAGCAACTTCCAAAGAGTTGATTGTGTTATCAAGTCACGGTCTTTGGTAGCCAATGAAAACAAACAACCAAGTCAATAAACATATACTTAGAATCAATTATGTTTGTTCTTCATCCACTAATGATTATCCAAATCAATTTTAACAAACATTGGAGAGTAGGCATATTGTCTAAACAGATAACTTCCTAAAGACATGTGCATCTAAAATCCTATGACCCAAAGCCTCACTACAAGTGAATGAGAGTCCATGTCTTCTTGCATAGAGTTTGAGCTCAAAATACTGGATGTGTTATTTTTGTTATTTTTGTTGCTTAAGCTAACAGCAGACATGTGTCCACCAAATTGGGCCGTATCTCAATTTGATTTCAACATGTGAGCCAACCTCTTTTCGCCATCAAAAAACACATTTTTTCCAAATAATTGGCAAAAAGAACAAATCCACAAAATGACAATCTCAAACCAGACACAACAGAATAGTACAATGAGCAAATAGCAGAGCATTAAAAATTTAAAACATTTCACTAAATTCTTCAAGCATAACAAAAGTTGCTACCTTTTAACTCCAAAAAGCTATCAATTCTTTAACTTTTTGTCGAAAGAAAAACGATCCTTATACGAAACAGAGTGAAAAAGACTACTAATCAATCATAACATCAAAATGCTTCATGTGGAAAAATAGAGCAGCCCTTCAAAAGAAACCATAGACAAGGGACAAAAGATACCATCTTTGGGCAGATTAACGGAAACGATGGGCATAAAATTTTAGAGTTCAGCAAGTCTTTCCATGAAAATTCGACAAGCATTGAAATTTTGAGAGAGAAATAATATTAAAATTCAGAGGGAGTGTTTTCAAGAAACAGAAATAGAAAAAGAAATAGTTGGGCAAATGAAGTGTGGAAGGCGTAGCATCTCAAGAATTAATAAATTATAGTGGAAAGTGACGATGCTGCTCTAGCAATTTGCCATGGCTACCAATTTTCTATCCTCTCTCTTGCATGCTGTCATCTCTTGCTTTCATTTCTTATTATGACTGGTTTCTAATCCACTCTAGCATATTTTTTCCTCAACTAAAACAACACATTCTTCAAAATACTTTCAAAAGATCATCCAAGAGAGCATTAATGGTGAGCTTAACATGGCAATAGAAAATAGAGCATAAAAGAGCAACCTTTATATTAGACAAAGCCTCACACTAAAACATCAAATAAAAGAAAGTTAGAAAAACAAACACCAAAAGGAAAAAGAAAAAAAAAGAAAAAGAAAAAGAAAAAAAAGCTAACACAGAGCCATCAAAGATATCACAAGCCCAAGATACTTTCTTTTTTTCATAAAATTCAAAAATTCCACTTAGAGAAAGTGTAATTACAAGACACAATTACAAATCATAAGAAAAGAAAAAACATCAAATTTAATAACATAGAATCTAGAAAATCAGTTGGTGCACCTCATTGGACGATTATCATAAGTAGCATTTAGATTTTCCTCTCACCAAGATTTGGTTTCGGTAGTCGGAGGGTTTATGAACGTTGGGTAAACAAGTGGGTCCCTTCGATGTGAAGAAGAGGCGGTGGTCGGTGGCGCAGCTGGCGGAGGCAACGGCGGAGAACCAGCAATTTGCGGCTGCGATTGCCATTAGAAGCGCAAGGTTATGGAGGAGGAGCTGCTTGTTTTCTTATCTGAAACCCTAATTTTTTCAATATAATTTTAGGCATAAGACAACACGATTGTTCATGAAATAACTTGTGGATATTTCAGCAGCATTTGACATACCTCATTTTTCTTGTTACCATAACTAATGGATATCTCTTTCCCAGCTTAGAAGCTGGTTAAAAAAAAAATCTGGCAAATACCCTGGACTTGAGGTATGTAAAAAACGAAAACGCTTTATGTGTAACAATTATAGCCTAGGCGTGACTAATATCAGTTGTACGACTTGTCCAGGTAAATAATGATAGATATAAGGAGCAAGAGTGAGCATAAAGTTCAATGAAAAGCAAAGTTATAAGTCTAACCAGTTTTCTAATTGAACCACATCTGAAAAAGAAATTACTTGCGCATAGCACAGTGTAACTAAAAAGATAGATTTCTTGTGTAAAAGCGAATTATAAATGAATCGGCAGAAAATACCAGAAAGGAGGTACATAGAATAAGCGAGTCCAGTGGTCGATCCATTCCCACCAACTTCTCATGTTGTTGCAGCCTTTAAGTCTGGACAACAAATTTTAGAAAATTATATGAGAATAGCACCAATTTCCCATGATTAGGACCATAAACCAAGTGCACATAGTAAATACTCGGGTTACCATGATTGCAAAAATCAACGCCCGACTGCAGCCATAGTAGACAGTTCAATATTATCCTTTTCAGTAATGAACTTCAAATGTTTGAACAAATGGTTAACGTACCTTGACCCAAGTTAAATTTGAGAGGTGTGAGGCTAGAATGAAATTGAGTCCTATCCATGGAAGTGTGGATAATGAACTGCACCATTCGTCGACATAAGAAATGATAATCAAAGTTGAAAAAAAAAAAAAACATTAATGATAAACCCTTCAACTTCATCTCTACATTTAAAATTCTCCCACCCGTCTCCCTCCTTGAGAAGCTTGTTTTTCAATCCTTTGCTTCCATAGCATGTTACCTTATTAGCAATCACAGCACCATCGGGATTTTCCAGCTTCCACCAACTTTAACAGCAATTGTCACCTTACCTTGAGAAAGAAAGAGGTTTATTTATAATCATAAATTATTAAACCCATAAACCTAAAAAGCATTATAAATTTACCAAATATGATAAAGAATACCAAATTACCTTTAGGCTAACGCTGGCTCTGAACCAAACACCACCCAGCCACCGTCAAGCTGTCATATCCTTGTTCAAATTCAGGCCTCTCCCAGCCCCTCGTATAACTACACACCAAAGACTTCGTCTGTAACATATTCAATTCATTTGGATTTACCAATTACCACATGATGGGCAAATGATGTAGACCATATAGGAAAGCAGTTCAAAGACGTGTACTGATCAAGGTAGCAACGCACATAATCTGATGCAAACAAAAAAAAAAATGAATGAACAACCAATTTATAATCAATGTGAAGGTTCTCATTGAGTTTGCTTCAAAGCTCTTAATCACAAGAAACTCAGCACATAATTACATGCACATAAGGACGAAATGTACTCAACTAACATAGATTTGAACATAATTTCGAGAGAGTATAAGTACCTATCTCTAGATCATGCCAAGGATGAGCAGCAACAGTTCTCCTGGACAGTGAAGAGAGTACCCTTTCATTAAGAGGTAAATTTTTATCTCTGAACAAGGGATTTGTCGGGCGTCTTAATTGGTGGAGCCATATCTGCAGGAGGAAAATCGTGACATGAATTTAGATAAGCTTTAAATAATTAATAATATGCATACATTGATATCAGATTTCATCGATCTATACAAAAAAAATCATTGATGTTAGAATTATGAAGTTATTGCACCTCCAACATTTCTTACACTTTGTATTGGTACGCCTAAAATGCAGGAGTTACTTTTGCTCTATGTATTTGAGCAGAAAATTGAATAAAACAGAGAAAGGACTATATTATATGACAACATCCAATATTGTAATGTTGGGGTATCTAGCAAACACACCTCATAGGTTACCCAATCATCATCAACTACATAAAAACACTGCTGAAGCAATTTTGCCTGCAAACTTAAGTATTCCATAAATGGAAAATGCACAGGAAAAAGTGTGCGAGTGAAGTATTGCTAAAGCTAAAAATTGGTTCAGAATATAATATTCAGTTTGATGACAACCTAATTAACTCCACAAAGATTAATCCATTTCTTCTACAGAACAAGACTTTTATTTTATTTTTAATTTTTTATTTTAAGTAAACAAAAAAATCAGCAAAACAAATATCCTGAAACCCTTTCAAGTTGCCAATTGCTTTAAATCCTTCAACTATGGATAACTATTACTCATGAACTTTAAAACACAAAACGCCGATACAAACTCAAAAGCAGAGTAAATTAGAGTGGTCAGTAAATATAACCTCTGCTGGTGCGTGAGTCCGGGCCGAGGACGCCGCCGCCGTTGTAAGTGATGCCGCCGCTAATGATTGCATCCCACAGATCGGGGATCCCCGCTGCCCGTTAGGACCATATCTGACTGCTCCGTTTTAATCATATCAGTCGCCTTTAACCTATCTTCTCAGGCTGACCCGTGTAGCCACGCCGCTGCTCTGGTTCTATCCGCCACGAGATTGTCCGCCCCGGGAGCCCGTGTAATTGTGGGTGCTCTCTGTAAGAAAAAGAGAGGTACTCGATTTCTGAGTTGTGACAGATATAATGTGCGTGTGGGAGAGGCTTTGCTTTTTCAAGACTGTTCGATTTGGTCTTTGAGGTGATGGTTGCGTGTGAGAGGCAAGAACCTTGAGATGTAAGCAAAACAGCATAAGATTACGATATCAACCTCTAAATGTCAATAAAAAATGTCCAAAAAATACAGCTAAAAACAATGGCAAAATTGTAATAAAAAGTGGACACTTGTCACATTTTAACAATAGCAAAATGGGACACTTGTCACCATTTGAAGTGCACATACTTCTTCATATATATAAACAATAGCAAAATGGGACACTTGTCACCATTTGAAGTGCACATACTTCTTCATATATATAAACAATAGCAAAATAGGACACTTGTCACCATTTGAAGTGCACATACTTCTTCATATATATATATATACTAGTGGGCTCCTGGCTGTGCACGCACAGCCGGCCTAAGTTTAGTCGATAATTATGAAATATTTATGATTTTTTGTTGGACACTAAAAATTGCAGTTAAAAATGTATCTAATCTTGTACATATATTTACCCGAAACGTAAAAATAAAGTGTTTGGTTCACCATTAAAGAAGTTGAGTTAAAAGTAAGAGATCAAGAGATTAATATTTACATTCATTATATTTGCCTACAACCTTAGTTGCGGCTGGTAAGTAAGTAGCAAAACTGAATTTTTTAAGCTAAAATGCAACCTTTGATATTAACAACATTTAATAATTTTATTTAAGAATAGATTTTGGATTTTATTTCTTTTATTTATTTTTTATTTTTTTGTGATTTCATTTTTGCTCTGCACCTTTTGAGTTTTTGTTGGCAAAGTAAATGTAAGTGTAATGTTATATGTATCTGTCAGCACAAAGAGAATTTAAGTGTACTGTTATATGTATCTGTCACCAAGAAAAGAGATGGAATGACATGCAAGCAAACATAAATAAGTGACAAAAGTTGAAGAAGCCATTGCACAGATACAAAAGAGGCCATACTTTGTGGCTGTTAGAAAACATCCTTGTTGGATACCACACTCATAATTCACACGCACTATAAATATCATAATATCTCAAGCATCTCAACACATGGATGCCCAATATTTTACAGTACTACGTGCAAAAGGATAATTGCAACCTACAGAACAATACATTTGTACAAACCAGACATGCTTCATACAACTATTTAATTGTCCAAGCAAAATAGATAACGAAACCATCATAGCACCATCAAGGCCTTTTTCAAATATAACCTTTTTCTAGTGAATCTTTTTTGTCCTCTGCAGAAATAGCCGCACCTGTACCTGAAATTTCGGATCCACAAGTCGTCTATGGAGTTGAGCGGGTTAATCTGTGCTCGTTCTTCATGGCCTAGAGTGCATTCATGTAAATAGTCAGTTTGTAGGTGATCCATAATCCAAATATAAGGTTGTGCATAGGAGGCATTTCATCAATGCTTGCCCAACCAATAGTTTTAAAACCCAAAAATGAAGAAGCATATAGTTAACATAAAAGTATATGTTTATTGAATTGAGAGCATAGACATAACATCAATAGAAGCACATTTAGTATATATGGTAAGCCAACATGCAGTTGCAAGTCAAATTAAGCTAACAATGGCAACTTAAATAAGCTAATAATGTTTCATCTTATGGTTCGCTTTTGACCCTTGTATTGACAGATAAATAGCTAATCACTTTTACTTTTTGCTCAAAGCAGTTGATTGCCACTTTTCAGGACTCCCAGTTGTGCTCGTACTTGCTCGAGATGTCTTTCAGGTTGTTAGCTTGCATCTCTAGTGTTTGTTTGTCTGCAGAAACTTCAACAACGTTAAGTAATAGAAGCTTTTTGTCCATTAGAAAAAATACAATAGTATAATCCCAAGTTTTACTTAAAAAACATACAACATTCTACACGTAAACTGATTATAACAGTTGAACAGGTACAGAGTCACTTTTTTTTACAAACAAAGAAATCTCCCCAAATAATTACAATAGTACATAAGAGAACAAATAAAAGTGCAAAAAAGAAAAGAAGATCAAGAAGGGCTGCTGATTAAAGGAACCAAAATAGCAAAACAAATAAAATTAATAAAAAAGGGGAAAAATAAAAGAAATAGAAAAAAAAATAATAAAAGGAAAACCATAACCAAATGAGATAACCATTGCACTCGTTAAATGGTCAGGATCAAAGAATTCAAGTAAAAACTCTACCAGTGGGAATAACCCAGTAAGACTGCAACTGAAAACCTCAACTTTCTAAGGTTCCATATGTGAATGCCAATCTCATCTTCAGCAGTTACTTGAGAAATGTTAACCAGTACTGATGATTCTATATTAGAATATAAAAGCGACCCTTCGAGATGACACCAATTTTCTAGTCATGACACAACCGCTGCTAACTTAGAGACTCAAAAGTAGCAAATAATAAGCTATAGAATGAAAAGGTTTCCAAGTGAGATCCATTTTGAGAACACAATCTGGTTCGAGAATGTATAAAGGTTACCGAAATGCGAGTAAGAATGGAAGTAATAATTTGCACTCGCCTTGCCTTATAATTCGCAGCAATCAAAGAATCCTTGGTATTCCCCGTGACGGAGTTCATTTGGATTCACTTCATCGGCAGGGTAGAGAACTACAAGATCTTATATCCGAGGCGCTCTAATGGATGATGGCTACCTACTCCAATATTTTCTTGTTGGTGTGAAAACCAAGCGCCATCCTTGACACTACGATGGTCAGTGTCAAGATTTAGGGTTCCTGTAAAAGAAAAAATAGCTGATACAAAAAACTCAAAAATATATAAAGGAACAGAACGTCTTGCACGTGCTTGTAATTGAACGCAACTAAAGCTCCCTCAACCGTTTTTGAACTCCTGACATCCATCTTCCGTTTATTGCACACCACAGGTGTAACGCCCCACTTTATTTGGAAAGATTTATCGAATTTATTTAATAAAAACCACAATAAATTTTTTTTTTTTACGCAAACATTAATTTAATTAAAAACTCAGTGGGCGCTACTCAACCTACCCAAAGCTTTTATCCAAAAATGCTAACACAACAAATAAAGGCAGCATGCACGAATAATGAACCCATAAACCAATCTAGCATTCATTAGGTTCCAATTCATAAAAGATAATTCATAATTCCATGTTCCGAAATGACATAACCAAAAAAATCCAAATTCAACATGAGTTCATGAACTAAGCGGAAGCAAGGTTAATAAAGCAATAAATAATAATATAACCACCACTCGTCATCTCGTCTCGTCACCCGCCAGCTGCTTAACCTGCATCCGTGAAGAGCAGGTGGGAGTGAGTACAGTTAAATATCGTACTCACACTATGCATATGAATAACATAACAATAGTATGGTCGCAGCATGAACATAAACAATGATCACAACATGTCTCATCTCCTAATCAAAATAACACCATTTAACCTTACTCCTGTGCACATCTATCGCTAGCCGCAGAACGGGAATTCATTACCCGAAGGCGGGAGTACGTGCCACTGTAACGGACACGGCCTTCCATATGGGCTTACGTACCTCACACGGGCACGGCCATATCAGGACTTAATTAAAGGAGATTGCCACACAAGGGCACCGTACCGTAACTCGACGGGGACAACCGTACCGACTGCCGTAACAGCTCACATCGATAGGCTACATGTTCATTTTCATACATAGATCACACCAAATTTGCAACATGATTAAAATCAAACATATGCATAGATAATTTTTGAATAACAACCCACCTGGATTTGGACTGATGACAGTAATTCAGAATAGTCGTAGGTTGAGGCTTGACTCCTCAAATACCTACATTATGTCAAGATCTTACAATCAATATCGTGACTAAATCGGAAAACACAAAACAGACCTAGTCGAACTTGTTTCGACTAAGTAGTTCGTGAAGTCCTGTGGATGTTGGAACACTAAGACTCGGCACTAAACTCGACCAAACCACATATGGGAGTTCACATAAATCCATCTAAGGATTGACCAAGTCAAACTCACATCAAAACGAAAAGCAAGTCGATTCCCAACTTTCATAAAAATCATGATCGGAAATAGAAATCATTTAATCGCATGAAAATAGATGGTTAAGCTACCCTACGAATTAAGCTCTGAAAATTTACCCAAAATTTCATCTTCCAGCAACATGTAAAACCACAAAGTTTCAGTTTTAAACTCAAAATACCCTATTTTATAAAATTCGAACAGTATATCAGCAAAATGGGCTCATTAATTCATACTCGGACTTAATGACCGAATTTGAACCTGAAAATTTTACACAACCACATACAGCATGCTAAAGTCCACTTATAAAAATTTCAGCCTTAAATGATAACTGCTGCTATTTTTAAAAATTCAAACGAGCAACAGCAGTTTATCGAATTTAAACCCAAACTGAAACAAAACAGACTCTAAAAATTCTCATCTTTTACAAACATGATCAAACACCTAAAATATGACTCTCAGTATAATTTCAGAATTTTCCATGCAGTAACCGATTTTTAAAAATTCAAACAACACTTCTGCAGAATCAATAAATAAAATATTATCCATATCAAATCAACTCCAAAAATTCGGAAAATTTATCACAACCCATATAAGACACAGAGGCATGACATATTCGAATTTCAGCTCATTTCAGTCAGGAATGAATTTATTATGCATTTAACAATATTCTGGACAGAATACAAATTAATTATTAAAAATAGCTACAGGCCTCCAAAAATTATGAAAATTTTACACAAGGCAGAATATGAACAGATAACACATCCCTCAAAATTTCACATCGTTTCGAGCAGCGAGCTATTTTTAAAAATTCGAACATCAAAACAGCGATTAACAAGCTCGACAACTTGACAATTAAATCACAACACACAATTTATCGTCCGAGGCCTTTTCATAAGACCAAGGGCTCGACATTGTTCCAATATCCACCGACTTACACGACTTTCGAGGTCTCGTTCAATTTCTCATAATTGAAGAGATCCTCGAACACTTAGACGACACACATAAAATCACAATTATCACATAGCTCATATCGAACACATTATCGCACAAATAATCACATCTCGCATATCAAATCGCAAATCACACATATTCATAAATAACATAAACGATTTAAACGAGACGGAATCGACTAGGTACCGTTATCGAGAATTCGAAAAACGGAATGGAAAGACGAGGCGAGCTAGCGGCAAGCTCGACGGCAAGCGTCGTCTCGCGAAGGAGACAACGGCTGAGAAGGGGGTTGCTGCTGCTAGGTCGCCGCCAGAGTTCACTGCTCGTACGGAGGGAACGAACGGCAAACGCACGGTGGCTCGGGAGGTGCTGCGCAGCGTTTCTCGGGCTCGACGGCAGACGCTCGTCTCGCGATGGCGAAGCAAGCGGACAACGGAGTAATGGTCGAGCACGGTGACTCGCTGCTGGTTCACAGTGGTGTTGAACGGTGGTCGAGGGGCAGCGACGTTGGGAGGACTGGTCGCGGCGGAGTTGCAGGCGGTGGTCGCTCGCCGGAGAACAGGGCCTACTCGCGGTGGCAGGGATCGTCGTGAAGGTGGTCGCCGGCTGCTGGTGCACGGGACCTGCGCGACGGAGGTGTTGTGCGGAGGGGAGAACTCGCCGGAATTCGCGAACAGAGACCACGAAGGGTTGCTCACGACGCGGCAGGGCTTCTGGGGTGGCGTCACGACCAGGCGGCGTCTGCTCTGGTTCGCGGCAAGGAGGAGCTTGCCGGACTGGTTCGCGAAGTAGAGAGCTCGCCGGAGATGTAGGCGCGCGGAGGAGCGACGGTGGTCGGAGTTGCGGGCTCGTCAGGCCTGCACGGATTGCGCCGATGGTTTCACGATGAGGAGAGAGGAAAACGATGATGGCGTTGGTGAGGAGATGGGGTAGTGATGACGGAAAAATTTTGCAGAGGAGGATCGACGATGAAGGTCACGATCGATTTTTCTGAGATTTGGGCGAGAAGGAAAAAGGCTGCAGGGTTATGTTTGATGTCGAGAGAAGTGAGGGGAAAATCAGCTTTAGGAGTTGTGATTAAGGGTTCAATGTGGGCCAAGAGTCTTTAACCTATTTGGGTCCAATTATACAATAAAGTGGGCCGGTATTAATTAAACTGATGGGCCGAGGATAAGTGCTTTAACGGGCCAAAAATACTTGAACAAAAGGCCGAATTATTTAGCTCTTATGGGCCGAAAATAATAATGCTCGATTTTGGGTTCTCGGGCTCGATTTATTCCGACAATAAAACTAGCTCAATTGATCGCACGACAATTAAAATAAAATTCGGATAATATTTATATATATAATACACACAGTAATATAATAATAATAATAATAATAATAATAATAATAATAATAATAATAATAATAATAATAAACATTTAGGCATTTAAAGATAATTAGGCATCTAATAATAATAATAATAATAATAATAACAACAATAATAATAAATAATTCAAAAATAAACGGGGCGCTACAGTCTACCCACCTTACAAAGGATTCCGACCTCGGAATCCGAAAAACAAACTACGACAACATACTAACGCGAAATAAGAGGAGACAACATCAGTACATGAAATTCCGGTACTTCCTCCGATTTTCGGTCTCCCTCTCCCAAGTCGCCTTGCCTTGACCACCCTCCCACTGGACTTGACGAGTACCCCTCCCGGCCTTATCCTAATGGACCCTCTGATCCAATAGGTCACCGGTACTTTCATACAGGTAGGGTTCTGCCTATCACGCAACTCGTCACATCACACATGTACTCCGAGATCACGCACACGTTTCTTCCAGCAAAACGCATAGAACGTGCCATGC